TGCAAGTTCTGTGCACAGGCAAGATTTGGGCAGTCCGGAGGAAGGCCCGGCGTCGCCTTCTCTTTTCGAGGCTTCCGATGTGGAGAAGCAGGACGAGGATGGGACCAAGGGCGGCCAAGATCGGGCCCGAGACGCTTCTTCTGGAGTTGCATGGCATTCTGCTTCTTGAAGAGGGATTGTGTTGTGAATGCTTCGCACGTCACAAAATCTCAGGTTGGTGCATGGGGACTCGACGCTCTCTGTCGGCGTCGCGACGTGGCTGTGCCAGTGGCCGAGAGACACTTCAGCGTGCCTCTGGCTGCTCGGCAGCTGGGGTTGTGAAGATTGGCTCCATCTGTTCAGGATGGGGCGTTGGGGAGGTTGTTGTCAAGGCCATGAACGAGGCTTTGCAGCACCTTGTGCCCTCAGGGGCTCCAGTGCCTCAGGCAGGGTTTGGTTTTTGCCGCTAATTCTTAATCTTTGTCGTTTTTCATGCAGGGAAAATGTGGTCTTGAAGTAGACATTATTCAGAGAATCCCTGCAGATGCGAGTGGAGTGGATGTGTGAAAGTGAGCGCTGGAAAGCCAAGCAGCTGCACAAGTCCTTCCCCGAAGTCCCCCGCATCTTCAGTGACATGAAAGCCTTGGCAAGTGGCCGAGCTTATGACTACATCACTGAAGCAGCAAGCTCTGTTGCCAAGGATCGGGGTCGCAGTTTTCTAAGGATATTCCTGCAAACGACACAGACTCTAACAGTGTTATATGTACCACTTAGCAGCTTTAGCATGTGCAGGTCCACGCGGTGCTGGTTGGCTATCCATGCACAAGCATCTCGGGACTCAACCAGAGCCCAGCCTCGTTCCGAGATAGTACGTCGAGGACGGGACTGGGCTTCAAAAGCTTGCTTGCCTACTTGGACAGAAACCTCGACAGCGTCGAGTTTGTCGTTGCAGAGAATGTTGCGGCGTTGTCGTCTGTTCGCAAAAAGTTCAATGACGAATGCCCCATCCAGATGCAGACGGATGCCTTGCGCAAGAGAGGTTTTGTGGGGTGGAGCAAGGTCCTGGATTCCCGGCTCTTTGGCCTTGCTCAGTCGCGGCAGAGGACATGGGCTGTGTATATTCGGCAGACCTCCATCAGGACATGGGTTAATAGATGTATGCTCACTAACATTGAATGTAGGGAAGTTCTTGGGCCCGATTGACAATACGACTGATTGGGCAGGAGCCATGTGTCACCGTTGGACACAGCCTTGAAGCTCCAGTGCCCCATCCTCCCGGGGAGCCTTGCAAAGTTCCTGCGCAAAGACCTTCCGCACCTCAGCAAGTCCGAGGACACCTCAGAGTCCAAGCCTGCAAGAGCCTCGACGTGGAAGAGCGAGTTGGCTCGTTTTCCTGCTGATGTGAAGGCACGATCCTTAGAGAATGGTAGGACAGTGCTCGCCAGTTTTCCGAGGACTGCTAACTTAGTGTCATCTGTCTCCCGCCTCTCTTCCTCGTATTTATGTTTAGGGTTGAGGGGTTTAGGGTTTAGGGGTTTAGAGTTTAGGGTTTTACTTCGGCTTGATTGACA